GGGGAGCCGAACCATCAACCCCACCCTCACTGTCCGATTGCGAAACCTCCACTCTATCCGCTAGGCCATCCGATGCTCGACTCTGCAGCGCTCTTATCGTTGATGAAACCATTGCAAGAAGCCGTTCACCCTTGAGCACATGACCCAAGTTGGAAGCTCACTTACGGCGATTTTTCGCTTCGATTCAAATAGCCCCTTTATAAGGACCCCCACTCAGCAACTGGTCAAAGTTGCAAGTGACCTACGCCGTATAGAGGCCCAGAACGAAGCAGATTCCAAAGATTTCTTTTCACTCGTTTTTTACCTTTCCTGGAAGCGCGCAGCGAAAATGAAGCACACTTTTCAGGTCCTTGCATGAGCCCCTACAATATGCAAAAACCGTTTTCGAAAAGCGCACCACGCCCTGAACGACCTCCCTTGTAGAGCCGTGTCCTCTGTCGGGGAATTGGTTCCATGTTCTGGTTTCCATCTGTTGAGTTTCTGCACGAGAATAAGCTCAGTTCGCATAACTCATGGTGTGAAATGGTTTCAGAGCTTGCAAGCCAAGTTACAACAAGTTGATGTAGACCGCGAGAGAGAACTTGTTGACCATGGCAAAGTTTTAGCCGAAATGCAGGCGAGGTATGCCAAGGAGCATCAGTCGCTCGAAGCCACATCCAAAGAAGTATTCACCAGATTTTGCCAAACTCTCAATAACATCTCACTGTGATGTTCGCCATTTCAGACAACGGCGCTCACCAAGAAAATCAGCCAGAAAGGATGAAGTGATTAAACAACTTAAAACTCGCGAGGCTCAACTGATCTGTCAAGTGTCAGCACTGAACAACGAAGTCAAAGAGCTTACAGAAAAGGCTTATCATGTTCCTTCTGTTCAGATCTTGAAAGACGAATTGGCCAATCTGAAGGTGAGGTCTTCAACTGGTGATTCCACAGCTTGAATTCACTTGAAATTCACGATGTCTAGGTCGATCATGCTCCGTGAGCTTGTTGACGCTGTGGTGAATGCAAAACACGCGACACAGCTGGAAGAGCAGGATCGCGCATCAGCGAAAATTGCCGAATTAGAAGAGAAGACTATGAATTTGTTGGAAACGGTTGCGCGAAGCGAAGAAGCGCGGAGTGAAGCCTATGACGCCTTTCTGCAATCAGAAACGGAAAAAGCTACACTTGTCGAGGTGATCATACTATATTTCTGCATGGGGTTTTGGCACTGTTCCACTGTTACTACTCAAAAAACTTTAATTTCTCTGAAACTTCGCGGAGCTTATTCAGTTCAATGATCTTGAATATTATGTTCACCTTCAGCGCTGCCGCGATTTGGCACCAGCACCTATCTCACCAAAACCGATCAAAACTTGTGACGGGGCCATTCTTGGCGCAGGCGCAATTTCGGCTGTAGACTCTTATCCTCTGCGCTCGCTCCTTCTCCCGGGCTCAGCTTTAGCAAAGCGCTAAATCGCGGTGGGATCGAAAAAAATTGGCGCAGTTTTGGCGCGAAATGGCGTCAGCGACCAAAACGGATGTCATATTCGCGACCAGCATGTCAAGTAGGCCCCGCACTCATGTTTCCATTGATTTTGGTAAGAAAGGTGGTGGCGTCAAATGGTGCCAACGCTGCATCTTATTCGTGATCAAGACACCGAATAACATGGATAGGCAGAATTTCACCAAAAAATCCTTGAGTTTT